TTTTTCGATTTGTTTTTTGAAATTTCATAAATGTTACTTACTTGCAGGTATAGCACTGATGATGGCTTTTTAGCCGAAAGCGCTTTGCGATTTATAATAAAAAATTTCACACGAAATACAAAATCTCTTCATTCTATTATCAAAACAAACGGTTAGCCATGGGTCTGAGAGGTTCCCCCGCAACCTTTCAACGTCTTATCAATAATGTGCTCATGGGACTCACAGGCTTGAAATGCTTCATTTATTTAGATGACATAGTGATCTACGGATGTTCTTCAGAATCCCACCATTCAAAATTAATTGAGGTTCTGTCACGGTTGCGCAAGCACAACTTAAAGTTGCAGCCAGACAAGTGTGCATTCCGAGAGAAATCACTTATTTGGGTCATATAACTTATTAGGAAGGTATAAGGCTCGACATGGGAAAAATCGAGGTAGTTAAAAATTTCAAGAAACCTGGTAATCAGAAGGAGATGAAATCATTTCTGGGTTTGGCTTCTAATTATTGCAGGTTTATTGAGAAATTCGCAAAAATTGCCCATCCTCTGAATAAATTACTCAATGACGCAAAATTTGAATGGTCCTCACTTTGTGACGAATCTTTTGCTACACTAAAAGAGAAATTGATAAGTCCATCAATCCTCATTTATCCTGATTTTCAAAAAAATTTCATCCTCACAGCCGATGCATCTCAATAGGCAATCTCAGGAATTCTGAGTCAATGGGAAATCGGGTATGACCTACCCATTGCATATGCGTCGAGAATACTTAATAAAGCTGAGCAGAACTACAGTACGATAGAGAGAGAACTTCTAGCTATTGTCTGAAGTTGCCAGCATTTTCGGCCCTATCTCTACGGCCGCAAATTCGATACTCTCACTGATCACGAACCACTAATTTATCTATTTTCTATATCAAATCCGTCAAGCCGACTTACGCGTTTTCGATTGGAGTTGGAAGAATTTGAATTTAACATAATCCATGAGCCCGGTCGTTTCAATACAAATGCATATGCCTTAATTAGAATTCACAAAGTCCAGACTCATTCAAACACGGAAAGACAAACATCTTAAGCCTACAACGACTTCTTGAAAATAATTGGAAGACAAATTATTAACAATCAGAATATCGGAGAAACTGAAGAGGATTTGGATAGTTGTTCTAGTTGTTACAGTGTAATTTATTTTTCAGATCAAACATTTTCACTGTCAAATGAGTACCACGATAGTTTATATGAACTGGAGGCACAGGAAATAAAAGTGCAGGAAATTGCATATTTACAGTTTGACGATAGATTTATGCTTTATCTTATTACAAAACCCGATATAATACACAAAACTGACTATGAAGACACTTTCTCATGTTTATCAAACTTGAGATATTTCTGTGAACGTGCAGAACTGATAGCCTCAAATTCGGAACGATAAGCGTAATGTTCATGTATACTTTCAGAGATTGCGATATCAAAATTCTCTATTTCCAAAACTAAATTGAGAAAGATTTAACGTTAGACGAGATCAAGTGGATTTTGGAAGAATTTCATATCACTCCTAGCGGCGGACATCAGGGTGTGAACAGAACATTCAAACGAATCAGACAGTATTATAAATGGAATGAAATGCATCGAGACATAAAGAAATACATAAGGTCGTGTGAAAATTGTCAGAAAAATAAGATCACAAACAAAACTCGATTACCAATGACTATTACAACCTCTACTTATCCCATGGAAAAAATTTTACTCGACATAGGCCCCTTCCTCACATAACAGTACGGTATCGGTGCAGTAAATTACATGCAGTAAAATTGTTACCGCTTCGTTACCGAGCGCCTATATTTGCATACACGCTTTCTGACTGGCGCGGGCTGCGCGGGAGCGGGGCGGTATATGTTCAGCATACTGCATTGCAGTACGGCTTTCCAGTAAGATCCGAGATACCGAGCGCGAAACTACATGGTAATCGTATGGAGTCTACCATACGAGTGTATTGAAGATGGCAAATGAAAAAGCCACGTGTATTAAATTGGTGGCTGAAGTAGAAAAATATCCACTCTTATATAACTACAAGTTACCGGAATATTCGAGGAACGACCTGACGGAAAAAGCGTGGACAGAAATTAGCAATGAAACAAAATTGACTGGTAAGTACGTGTTATTCATTATGTATCACTAACACATACACTCAAACTCACATAATATTATTTTATAGTACTCTTCTCATTAATTACAAAGTATGCATAGACAGTAATTATGTATGTAGTTTCAATTAAATACAATGAGTGTTTTGCCACGGAAGCGCTGCCCTAGGTGAAACAAAGTAATTAGTTAAGTATTTTCGGACTGTTGACCCGGCTGATCTAGCATTAATGGGAATTTCGTCTCTTCCAATGTTAAAATCTTGATTCTCGTTGTGAGTACCCTCATTATCTGTGGCAGAATATGGCGCTCCATCTCGTAATCGTATAAAATTGTGTAGGACACATACAGATTCAATTATGTTGTTCACTGTAGTGTAATTTGTACACCGAATTGGCGTTAGAAGTACTTGAAACTTTTGAGTCATCATTCCGAATGTACACTCTATTGTTTTGCGTGCTCTCGACATTCTGTAGTTGTAGATTCTTTCAATATTGTTTATACCTGTCATGGAGTAAGGCCGCATTATATTGCGTTTCAAAGGGAAAGCATTGTCGGCAATAAAGAAATATGGCACTTGCTGTAGTGTATCATCATGTGGAAGTGCAGAAGATATAGGCATATTTAAACCAACTGTTTCCATCCAGTAGCTCAAAGCCGAAGCTTGAAAAATGCCGCCATCACTATTTCGCCCAGCATACCCTGTGTCAATCATAGTAAACAATCCATCAGCATTACATATTGCTAATAGGACGATCGAATGATAGCCTTCATAGTTATAATTTGTGGATCCAGTATTCGGCAATTTTTGAATTCTGATGTGCTTGCCATCCATAGCCCCTAAGCAATTAGGGACATTCCAAAGTTCATAAAAACGATTAGATATATCTTTCCATTCTTCTGTGGTTGGAATTGCCATGTACTCTGTCTTTAGTGTTGACCAAATCACGTCAGTCGTTTCAGCTATTATGTCAGATATAGTGCTCACACCTCTTGCAAAATATAATGCCAATGCCGTAAATGTACTTCCGGTAGCTAAATATCTGCAAAATAAAAAAGCATCAGTTTAATTTATCTGTTCTGTTTGTTTCAGTTGCTGAATGCAAGGAAAAATGGCGCAATATCAGGTCCACTTTCATCAGAAGTACCAAACCACCTCCAAGCGGCTCAAAAACCAAAAAGCCTTATTATTTGGCTGAACATTTAACGTTCATTTTACCCTACGTTAAACCAGTTAATAGAATTCCTAATCGTGGAAACATACCACCAAATCCAGTAGAAAACACGGTGCCAGATACAGAACCGGCAGATAATACCGAGGCAGAACCTGAAGAACAAGTAACAGACGAGGGCCCTACTGATTCATCAGATCAACACCAGTTATCTGATTCGCAAGTCCAATCTACGGCTTCTTCTTCTTCTACACCTATGCCCCGAGTTCGCCCCAAGGCAACATCTGCAGCAGCAGTAGACGCTGCAATGGTTAAGTTTTTAAAAAACAAAATCGACAAGACTGACGAAATTTTATTAAACAAAACCGAAAAACAAATGAACCATTACTTCCTCAGTTTACTACCAGAGTTTGCCGATATGAATGCCCAACAAATCCGATCTTTCAAAATTAAAGTATTACAACTTATAGATGACATTAAGACCGCACCGATATCAGGACCTTCAAGAAACTCCACTGGTAGTTCTTCAATGGACAATTCTCTATTTTCTCCAATATCATCAGTTGGTACTCCAGCACCAGCTGCATCTCCGCCAGTAATGAACTACCAGTCTAACTCTTTGACAGGCTATCAAAATGCAGATGAAGCCATGAACTACCAGTCTCACTCTACACAAGGTTATCAAAATGCAGATGAAGCCATGAACTACCAGTCTCACTCTACGCCAGGTTACCAAAATGAGGATGAAGCCATGAACTACCAGTCTCACTCTACGCCAGGTTACCAAAATGAGGATGAAGCTGTTAACTTTTCTGTATTTCATTCATAAAAACTTTATTAATAAATAAAAAATTATATTGGTTTTTGATGATTTCTACATATTTATGCCTTTGTGAGGGATTTTACATCAGACAGATGCAGATGAAAGTGGGTACCCTGCATAATCCAAGGGCACGATACCTCGGAGAATATCAAATAGAAGAGGGAGATCTACCCAACCTGAAGCCTACCGACATCCTGAACTTTTTGAAAGCAATAGGAATGGAGGAACTGCTCTAATCGCTGAGACATCCTCAACGATTGGGCAGCAGAAGGGGGCACAATAGATCTTATAGGTCGCAGTGTATCGACACCCCAACATTAATAGAATAGAATAGAATAGAAGTGGGTGCCTCCCTCAAGATGGACCGACAATCCTGAACGATTGGAGCACTATTGGTGAGACGTACAGTGTGCGACTCATCTACTTTATCAGGGAAACTAACCTTTACTGTATTGACGTAAGAGCGTGACAGCTATCAAAATAGATGACTTGATGTATCGCAAACTGTACGTCCAGCAGTGTATTTCAAAGCACTCATTTGAAGAAATGTACAGGTTCTTACCTCAAAGTAATGAGTAATCTCTTTTCGGCACTAACACATTCTCTATGTGTAGTATTTTGTTTCGTAATGTGGGGTGCAATAAGAGACAGGAGTTCACGATAACTTTGTTTTGACATTTTATACATCGCTCGGAATTTCACATCATCTTGCGAAAGTTGTTGTGCCGCAATGAAAAGTCTGCATGAAATATTTTTGGCAATATACGGGTGTACCCAATACTTCTTTCTTCTTCTACGCAATCGTAAGTACATGTAACACGCAATGACATCTTCATCCGAAGACATCATTTCACGATGACGGCACAAACGCATCTGAATGTTTGCACCGAAAGCATGCAGACAACTTACGGACAGTAAACCGATAAGTGAGGAGATCTGGCCGACAAAGTTTACTATCGGTATACCGCATACAGATGCTGCACCGATACCGTACTGTTATGTTCAGGTATATTTTCAGAGATTGCGATATAAAAATTCTCTATTTCCAAAACTAAATTGAGAAAGATTTACCGTTAGACGAAATCAAGTAGATTTTAGAAGAATTTCATATCACTCCTAGCGGCGGACATCAGGGTGTAAACAGAACATTGAAACGAATCAGACAGTATTATAAATGGAATGGAATGCATTGAGACATAAAGAAATACATAACGTCGTGTGAAAATTGTCAGAAAAATAAGATCACAAACAAAACTCGATTACCAATGACTATTACAACTACCTCTACTTATCCCATGGAAAAAATTTTACTCGACATAGTTGGACCTCTCAATCAAACGGACAAATTCAACAAATACCTACTGACTTTTATGGACGATTTGACAAAATATTTGATAGCCATCCCTATAGAAAATCAGGAATCCTCAACGATAGCTCGTCATTTCGTTGAAAACATTATTTGTCAATTCGGAATACCCAAATTTCTCCGATCAAGGAGCAAATTTTTTGAGTAATATATTCAAGGAAACATGTAAACTTTTGGAGATTAGTCAAATTTCTACTACTGCCTATCATCCACAATCGAATGGCAGTTCAGAGCGTACTCATAGAACTTTGGCCAAATATTCACGCAATTTTTCAGATAAGGATATGATACTTGGGATACTCAAATCCCTTGAGTGTTGTTTACTTACAATACCACTCCGCACACTCCCACTGGTTTCACCCCATTTGAACTTTTGTTCGGTAAAAAAGCAATCTTACCCTCTAGTGTGACAAAAAACCCAGCAATGATGTATAATTTCGACGATTATCATAATAAAATGAAATTGCGGTTGCAAGTCGCCCATGAGGCAGCTAGAAAAAAACTCATTGAAAATAATGAAATTTCGAAATCATACTACAAAAATGTACATGAATTGAATCTCAAAATTGGTGACAAAGTTTCATTACGTAACTAGTCAAATGTTATTGGAAAGTCAAAGAAATTAATACCGCTGTACAACGGGCTCTACGAAGTGATAAATATCGACTCGGACGTGAATATTACAATATAACGCGAAATATTCTTTTTCGCAGGAAAATATTATTCTTGGAAGTAGTCTCCCTCATGTCGTGCATTTTCGCGATTGAAGCCAACGATGGTTACTAACATATTTCACCACTAGAAACGGATCGAGGGATATATTACGAGAAAATAGGTTGTGACGTAACTTCACAGAATAGAAATTATGGTCCCAATGCTCGACAGCTCATGAGTCAGGCGAGTGGTCGTGGATTCAACTAAGTCAAGTTTTAATTTATTATTTCAATTTCATGAACAATCAAAACAAGATAGTGTGGGCGCCACCCAGTATAAACTGGGAAAGGAGTAGGGAGGGGACAAAACAAAAATATCAATGCAACAGGAGTTGTTCCGGAACCATGCATATAATCAATATAATAAATAGATACTCAGCAGTAATAGTTACACTTGCTTTCAAACAGTATCAGTATTTAAGTGAAATTTAAATGGGAACCATCACCCTTAAAGCCTACAATATTACTAGCACTTATCTCTGAATTTGTTAGTGAGCTTATGAATAATTGCAGCAGATGTTCCTTGAACAATCTGACTTTAGTCAATGTTGGTTAGTATTACTAGAAATCTTAAATTAAGCCTCACTGTGGCTTTTCAGTGGCAAATGAAATGAATGAATGTAATAAAAGGTGTGTTATGAATTTAGAAAAAGATATAAGGCCCTATGAAATGAACTATCAGCGCTGATATTCCGTTTCTCACAAAAGGAGAGAGTAATATTGAACTTGAAATATCATAAATACTAATCAGACGTGGAGGCTCCTCTTCTCATCACGTTGACGATTGAAATTTTTATGAAAAATCTACTTACAGTAGGTAAGTCACCAGTCTTACTGTAATGTAGCCACTACCAAATATTTCCAGAAAATTACAGTGGTTTTATTGAAATTTCCATAATCCATTAGTCCTGGGTACCTGCTCAGCATTGGTTCAGGAAAACATACAAGGTGAACATTATTTTATTCACCGACATCCATCACGGAGATACAAAATCCGGAGGAATCCAGTTGGATAGACAAAATGTATTATTGCCCCATAAGCATTAAATTTAATACATGGCTCAGGAAAATTAGGCAGTCGCCTTCAAATAGCACATGAAGATTTCATGGCATTACCATGTGACAAAAAAAAAGGTGAAGGTTGAAGGCCTGAAATGAAATCATTATGATAGTGTTTTCAAGACATTCCGATATGATTCGATACATAATTTATTATAATTTTGAAAATAAATATATCAGTAACTTGCCTAGAGTTGTAAATCGGCCTTCATCATAAATGGACGTGCCTTTTGAAAACAATAATTTTCAGCTCAAAAGGTGGCATGCTAACACAGCAAAGCGCCATTAGAGAGAGAACGTTTCATTCCTCCACTACTCGATCCTCTCAAAGAATCCCTATTACAATAGGCTACAAGTTGTAATTGACATTTCGGAACCGCGTTCCGTTCCAGGTTATCGAGTGTGGTGTGAACTAGGCTGAGTGCTTGAAGAACGCGCAGAGTTCACTATTGCCAATGATTAATTAGGTAAAAGTAATTTTTACGCTGAGGCTGTGCAAATTTAAAACGAAGAATCAGGATTGAGGTTAATGGCTCAGTCAGCTGATCGCGAGTATTGTATTGTTTACCAAAAATAAGCATGGACTTGAAAACACATCATGAAATGAAATCCTTTACAGGTGGCATCTGGATATTAAATACGTGCTGATACAGTGTGAAGGACGTCCAACGCGAATAGGAATTTATTTACTAAGGTACTGACTTTGGGTTTTTCTCTATGGTACTGATAATATTTGGTTATTGAGAACAGTTATATTTTGTTCTTGGTGATTGTGTTGATGAAAAATACTTGTTTGGTAGCATATTGTGAGTGGAATACTTCTGTAATGGACAGGTAGACATGAATAGTCTACTGGACCGTTACACACCCCCTCTCCTTACAGAAATATTGTCGGAGCGACAATATTTTCCAAATTATATCAGCCTGGGCAAAATTAGGTTTGTTAAATAATTGGTCGGTAGACTCACATCTAACACGACACTGAGGACCATGAAAGGTATAGCTAATCTGGTCAGACCAGACAGCCATCAGACTGGTTTGTTTACCATGACTGGCAAACTCACCAATCCTTGGGGTTGAATGCTCCACCGCAAATGGCAGAGACATTCCATCACAAAGGGGTTGCTTCTACTTTTCCAGGTAGCTGTCTTTCAAGAACGACCATTGGACTCCGGAGGCAGAAATTTGGGCGAAACATGATACCAAACCATGAATAACTATCGGAAGTGTTACTCCAATCACTCCTGCTTTCATTCAACATTCGCTTCCACATTCACACACTCATACATACACACACCGGTACCTATTCAGATAGTGGCTCAGATCCATGATAAGGCTTCAAATCCTTCACATGAAATTTGCCTATATTCTTTCCTTCCGAATCGCTCAATTCATACACCAATCTCGAAATTACTCTTCTCACAGTACAGAGAGTAAACTTAGGTGCGAGCTTGGCTGCAAAGTTTTCAATTTTATTGGAAAGCACAAAATTCCTTTTCCAGACGCGGTCTCCAAGGTGATACACGTCACTGGGTCTTTTCCGCAGATTATAACTTCTACAATTTTTAGCGTAGGCTTCTGAAAGTTTACGTCGCACATCAATATACATCTGAGGAAGTTGCTCTATATCGTTACGGTAATCTAACCGATTTATATTATTCAAGTCAAAGTCTGATGCAGATTCGATTTTACCATAGTAATCTCCCTTAGCCGGAACATATCGACCAAAATTAAGGGCTGTAGGACTAACGCCAGTTGCCTCATGAACGGCTGTCCTGAGTGCAAAACCTATCTTGTGGATTTCCTTATCCCATTCACGATGGTCATTATCCTTTATATAAGATCGAATAGCAGTCTCTAGTACCCTATTGACACGTTCAACAGCGTTTACTTGTGCGTGGTACCGCGCATTATAATGAATTTTGATATTGTACCTATCAGCTAATTGCTTAAAGGCGTTACTGGTGAACTGTACACCATTGTCGCAAGCCAAGACTTGTGGTGAACCGTATATCAAAATAACTTGTTCCTCGATAAATTTCACAATTTGAGGCGTTGTTGCCTGACGCAAAGGATGAACTAGACAAAATTTGGAAAA